TTTAACACTCCTATGCCCAGGTCACACACTACACCAATTAAGTCAGAACCTCTAGGGGTGGGAGCCAGGCACCGCGAGTTTTTAAAGCTTCCCAGGGGGTTCCAATGTACAGCAGAGTTTGGGATCCACCTACAGAGGGCTGTATTGAAGGGGGTTAGAGCCCGTAGCCAACTGTGCCCATGGAGCCTGGGGCACCGACTGTGCCTTCGGAGCCATGAAGGAGGGGCGGGCAGCATTGTCTCTGGTGTGCCCTGCCTGCTCCAGGGAGGCTGCCGGCCCCCTTCCATAGCAGGGGGTGCTTGTTCAAAGTGGGGCCTCTTGGAAGCTCAGGGCCTAGGAAAGCCTCGGACATGCGGGAGCAAGGAGCTGGTTCTGTCTCTCCTTCTTGGATGCAGCTCCTGGCGCTGGGTGGTTGCTGGCTTGGCTGGGCACAGCCCTGATTCCTGCCCCTCTGCTAGGAGTGCAGCCACCCAGGGCAGCAGGAGACCTGCTGACACAGCAAGCACTGGAGGCTGTGGATACTCAAGAAGTAACCCCTGTGGACTTTCAAAAAGTCCATCACACACACACACACACACACACACACACACACACACACACACACACTTCTTTCCTGGTGTTTCCCTGAAACCCCAGTGATGGTGGCCGCGCAGAGGCTCAGCTCTGGCAGAAATCTGGGTATTCCCATCCTCCAGGTTTGCACTCTGATGGTTCTCAAACTCACATCAGAATCCTCTGGGGGGCTTGTTGAAACACAGATTGCTGGGCCCAGCCTCAGAGTCTGACTCAGTAAGTCTGGGTCATGGCCAGGCTACTTGCATTTCTAGCAAGTTCTGAGGTGCTGCTGCAGTCTGGGGGCCTCACTTGCAGACCTACTGGTTCATATCCTCTTTCCAGGTCCACTTCTAATGCGCCACAGAGGGAAAAAGCAATGGGAAGAAATGAAAAGGGGAGGAGAAAGCTAATGATGCCCTATCTGTTGAAGGAAGACAGGGCTCTCCAGATTCCCTTGCGGTCCTGCCTCAGCATGGGGCCCGTGCGTCCTGCAATGTGCTGCTCTGTATTTGCACATGGTAAGGTAGCCGGTACACGCCAACACGTGTGACAAATGCCAGTCTATCGTGAGCTCTCCTGGAAAGACAATGTATACTTGTGGCTTTCTAAATGCTGAATACTTCAACAAAATATGGATTTAGCCTAAAATGCCCAAAGCACCATGTCCTGAGCATACAACATCCATGCATTACTGGGGATAAAAAAGTGAATTAGAGACTGGGCGCAGTGGCTCACACCTGTAATCCTAGCACTCTGGGAGGCCGAGGCGGGTGGATTGCTCAAGGTCAGGAGTTCAAAACCAGCCTGAGCAAGAGTGAGACCCCGTCTCTACTATAAATAGAAAGAAATTAATTGGCCCAACTAATATATATAGAAAAAATTAGCCGGGCATGGTGGCGCATGCCTGTAGTCCCAGCTACTGAGGAGGCTGAGGCAGGAGGATTGCTTGAGCCCAGGAGTTTGAGGTTGCTGTGAGCTAGACTGACACCACGGCACTCACTCAAGCCTGGGCAACAAAGCGAGACTCTGTCTCAAAAAAAAAAAAAAAAGTGAATTAGACACAGATAGGGTTCCTATCTTTCTGAAGTTACTGTCCTACAGGGATAACACATATTTAACAAGTAATTGCAGAGGTGATCAGAGTTAGGAAGGGAGAAGTACAAGATGCTGTAAGGTGGGTGAGGGGAGGGAATCTAACTTTCTATGAATCGACTTTTCCTTCCTAGAATGTTTAGGCCCTGCTGACTTGTACCAGATTATAAATCTTGGGGAGGTGGAATTAGCCCCAACTGTGCTGCTAGTTGCAATGTGCTTCAAGATGTGCTGACCTGGGTGGTGACCCGTAGAGCCATTTAAAAGAAGAGATTAAATGTTTCAGCATCTTTCCTGCTCATACTGTTTAAATGAAGATGAATGTCCAGTTCCCCCAAGCTGGTGGTTTGATGGGAAGAGCCTGGCAGGTTGTGTGAGGGCTGCTGGAATTCTGTCTTCTTAGAGGCTGCCAGGCTAGAGGGGGCAATGCGTCGGTCTGATGTGAACAAGTTGCCTAGCAGAGGAGAATTCCAGCAACTCAAGGAAAAACAGAGACAATATGGTGAAATGCATCATCTGATGTCCTGGGACCAGCTGCCGAGTGAATGGTGAGCTTGTCTGTGGCCTTGACAGAAATGCTGGCCATGACTCTTCCATCCCAGAGCTCTCCTGAGAGCGGCTTGTGTCTAACCAAACTTTATTTTTCAGGCTGACCATAAGAAATCTTACCCTCTTCTGGAAATTATCTTTACTCTCTGTGGGGACAGAAGGGTGACCACATAGATACATGGAAGAGACAATCACATGTCTTTGAGGACGAGGACATTGTCTAGTTCATTTGTACAGTTCCCACAGCTGAGCTTGGTATATAACACTTGGAATGTGGGGTAAAGGTTTAAATTCCAGGGCCATTCATTGCTTCTAGCTGTCTATGAAGAAATTCAGCGCAAGAATCCAAGCTCCATCGGGGCCTCAGGCAATGAGGATAACCATGGAACTTTCCAAAGTCAAGCAGGACACCTAGGGAATGAAAATCTAAGGTAGCTTTTAAGGCTCTCAGTTCTTCCTTTGCACCCAGTTGATGTTTGCAAAAATATGGGCTATGACTATAAATAACTGGAAGCAGTACTTTTTTTTTGTTAGCCTCATTTTTTGTTAGCCTCCCCCCCCCAAATGAGCACAGTTTTTAGGAGTGACGGTGTTGCAAATAGTCAATCTTACAAAATGATCAGTTTATTAATATGGTATGTCCTATTTAAGGTATGTCCTTCCCTCTGGACCAAACCATTTCAATTTTGGATCTAGAGATCAGTGATCTCCTACATAAACATCTCTATTTCATAGTCCAGCATCCACACTAGGAGTTTGTTCTGTAGTGAAAACTTTCTAGAACTTGCGATCACAAGAGTAAGCAGTGGCTGCATCCTGGGATGGGGTTGTCACACTTGGGCTCTTGGATGTGAGCAGAGTGGAAGTGCCAGCAGAGCCTGGGACTGCATCAAGTATATACCTTCTGAGGCAGTGACAGAAACCTCTGAACTGTTGGGCCTTGCCTCTTACCGCCCCTCTTTCCTGAACCTGCCCCACACCCTGGTTACCTGTGTTGTGTGGCTTGGTTTCTTCCTCTCTCCTTTGTCCCCTGTTGTCATCCTTTATGGCCCCAGTGGATGAATAGCAATGCATCTAGCAACGCATTCTAGCAGAAAGAATGTGCCTTTAAAGCCATGATAGACAATTTCAAATCTCAACTGTGCTGTGTACTAGTTGTAAGATCTTGGGACACTTGCCTAATCTCTTGTGCCTATTTCTTCATCTGTAACGTAGATAGTGATACCTGTGTCAATGATTAAGGCTTTCTGTAAAGCTTAAGAGAGCTAAGGGTTATTAGCATGGTGTCTGGCAGAAGGTTAAGTCTTCAACAAGCAGCAGCTATTTCCATTAACTGAAGTCAGGGAAGGATTCTCTTCAGGCATTCGTACAGATCACACCAAACGAACATGGAGTGGAATACGCTATAGAAACAGCGGTAAGGGTAAGCAAAACAGTAAGTAGAAGGCAGGCAAAACAGTGGAAGTGGTTCAAATTTTTCCCCAAAGAGGAACAGTTAGATAAATTGCAGGGTATAATGCAAGAAGTGCCCTCTATCACATCGTGTATTGTGTAACCCTTATCCTTGGAGAATCAAAAACTGGCTTGAACCCTATCCCACATACAGTGAGAAGTCTCAGGGGACAATCCCCTAAGGATTTGGTGGTGGGCGCGCAGGGTACAGGGAGGTGACATTCCCTTATTCGCCTGTCACTTCCACTGGCACTTCACTGTGTGCGTTATCTTGCTGTACTACCTGCCTGCTTTCCTCTTCACTAGTTACACCACACTGAACCCTATTCCATCCTCTCACTCCCCAAGACAACACTGATAAAAAGCTGCATATCAGCTTTTACTGAAGAGTTGGGGCAATGAAGAGGACTGACATGTTAGCATCACGGTTTGTGAAAGTCCCTGGCTCTCCTGCCACCAGGGAGTCTTAAGACTCTGCTCTGGAGGCTCCAGTCTCCAGACTGCTGCTTAGTCCCAGTTTCTCTTTTCTGTTTTACCTCCAATCTCTGCAAACTTCCTCTTCAGAAGAGGTGATTTGAGGTCAGTCTTCTTCTAGATGAGGGGGTCTCACTTTTTAAATAAGTCTATTAAGATCTTCTGAAACAGATGCACTTTTGCCTCCAAGAGAACCCTGATGTTACTGTCACGGTGTGTATTTTTGTGTCTGCCTCCATGGGCTGACTGTGGGCTCTTTTAGCTCTGGAGCCTGCGCCAGATCTATGCCTCGGGAGGTAGAACAATAAATATAGTGCTCAATAATCCATGTGTTGGAACTAAATTTCTTGGGCCCAAATATTGGCTCAACTACTTAATTATGTCACCATCTTAGGAAATGGGTTGTAGAGAAGACTGAAGTAAGATAATACAGTTAATAAACTTAAAGCAGTGTCTTAGGCATTCACTGGACGCTGCATTAATTACTCCTGGACAGAACCTTCACTGTCAGTTTGCAGTGACTAGCTTCATGCATGGTGGCATTTGCCACTCCAAGCTGGGAACAGGCCTTTAGTAAGGATTGGATGTGTGACTGAGTAATCCAGTTTCCTGATGACATAGAAGGATGAAATATGGGTTTTTAGATAATGTTTTTCCCTTGATAAGACTGTAGTTCACATATCTGGACACTTAAATAAAGGAAATTTTTACTTAACCAGGCTTGGGAGAACAGTGGAAAAGAGTTCAACAGTTTCATCTAAATAGTAACACAAACCACAAAATCTTTTTTAGGCTTCCTTTCCCATTACTAACCAGCTAACATTGAAGATTCATTTGGGGGCTTTTTTCTTTCTATATACAGAATAAAACAAGGCTGCCAAGTTTAAAAATTCTTTATTTGAATTTTAGAGAAAGAACACATATTGCATTATAAAGACTTGCTTGGAAGTATGAAATAGTCTGTTGTCATTATTTCTTTAGGTGCTGTAAACCAACATAATTATCAAGGGAAGGAATGGTACATGTTTCCTCACCTTTAACATGTTCTTAAATTAGCATGGAAACAACCTTAGACAGAAAATCCTGGTGAAATGGCACCTTTGACTCTCTTTCCTCAGGTTCTAATGGTTCCATAAATGAAGCACTATTATTGGTCTTACCTCCACCATACTTGCCAACATGATGAAAATAGGAAACTAATATCTCTAAAGCTAATAGTACATAGTAGTTTTCATCTAAAGCTCTGTGTCCTCATCATCTGCTCCATCCTGGTGACTGACCTGGAAATTAGGGCTGAGTATGAGTTAAAATGATTTAATATTCATTTGCTGTGAAAGTCAACCTGCTAATCTGCAGCTGGGACTAGCAAACTGGGGGATATACCAAGCCTCCTGGTTTATTTAACTAATGATCACCAATTTCACAGGGGGCAGTAAGTGTGGTGTTTGTTGACCTTGGCAAATGATAAGCTATGACTTATTTACTCCTTGGTTCTCAAGCTTAATATAAGTCTTCTAGTGTAATAAATCCTTAATGTTTAAAGTTAGCAAACCAGTATGTTGAGAATGATATCCACTATGTGACAGTGGCTAACCATGACATGATTCATACATAAGATCAAACCTCCTAATCAGATATCTTCATTCTTTTCATAAATTCTATTGTATCTCACAATAACAGATAGTAGCATAAACTGCTGAAAGTTCTAGTCTTATCCAAAATAAACTCAGTTTTAAGCTTACTCATTAAAAATATAAGTTAACAGAATATATTCTTTTTTCAAGTAGAAAAAAAATGCATTTCTTTTATGTGCATAGTTCTTTTTGGACTCTGGCAACATTTTTTTAGGTAGTCCAATATTCTGTACCCTCGATGATTAAAAATTGATCATGATCCCTGTGAGGGGGGAAAACAGGAATTTCCTCTTCAAATATTATTAGGGGTAGAAATGAAAATTTCTTACATTTCATTCTCTTTCTTTTAGGCTTTATTCTTGTTTTTAAGGTAAAAGTTATATATAACTGGTATTCATATTAGCAGTAAACATCCTAATTTCTACAAATTAAAATGAGTCAGGACTGATGAAAATAACATTTTGGTAAGGCATATGGGGTCCATAGGTGGTAATAAGTGTCTATTAATTTTGGCCATAAGCAATCTTATTTGAGTGGTTAATTTGTATGAAACAGCGACAGCATGAAAAGGCCTCAGTCCACTGAAGGCAGCTGAGTCAGCCCCTCAGTACGCAGGGGAAAGAGGGCTTTCACGGGTGGAAAGTTTCCATGAGGTCAGACTGAAAGGGGCATCGGATCAGACTCTGGCTCTTTAGGTTGTGAAAGCAGAAGTGGGTACTTCAATACATTGTTGAAATTGGAAGTTGCTTTGAAACTTTTCAATGTGTTAGTGAAATACAAGTTTTTTCCTGTGATACATTTCTGTCAAGTTTCACAACCTGAGCTTAGTAAACTGGTAAGAATCAAAAACTAGTATGAAAGTGGCAAAGAGCCTGAGAGTTCTCTGGTTTTAATCACTCTAAATGCCAGAGTGGCAGGGTCTTCTCAGAGTCCCACTGTTGGGACTACTGGGGAATACGTGCCCAGGAGCAAGACTCAGGCCAAGAGGATTAAATCAGGACAGTGTCTCTTTACAAATGATAGAAAAATCAGTTTGAATCCCAAGTTCCTTGTCTGTTCCTAAATTTATTTGGAACAGTCAAGAATGACTCATAGAACATTATTGCTTTTGAATACCTCCATCTCTACTTCTTGCTAGCAAGAAAAGGCAAAGAAATGCCAGTTTTGTGCTGGAACTTACAGTCATTTAAAAAAAAAAAAATTAGAAGATGTTCTCAGCTTTTATAATTATGGGGGATTTTTTACTTGCGTAAACACACACCCTACCCAATAATCTAAAGTTTCTATACTACATGCATGGCAAACAATTTTGTCTTAAGATTGATCCTTTCACATTAACTCCTAACTTTGGAGTTAGTTTACACTAAGACTCTAACGAACCTGTGTGCCTGTACTGTGGGGTATGAGTTAACCCCAAGGGGAAGAAGCTCCTAACTTCTGACTCAGTAGTTAACATGAGGAAACATTCACTTACTTCCATGAAGCATAAAACTTTGGGAATTACAACCAGGCAGAAAGACTGTTCCCATCAGTCTCCACCGTCACTACCCAGGATTGTAGTAGTATTGGCGCAAAGAGTACAAAAATCATCTAATAACAGGAAGACTTGACTCCTCCATGAGTTTATCTGATTTTCTCACAAGCTTGCAAAGTCCCATTTCAAAACTTAATAAATTAAATATTAATATATATATATATACACCTCCCCCACAATTTCTTGCTGTAACCCCCAAAAGTAAATCCCACCAAAAACAATTAAGCCCAAATGCCTGCTTAATTTATTAATCGGGCATAGCAACTTTCCATTTCCTAGAGGCCCTTGTGCTAGCACACAAACATTAAAATAGAAACAACTATTGTCCCTAGGGATTAACAATAGCGTTGCCAGCAATTTAAGAAGTAGAATACTTCTTTGCACTTCTCGGTTGCCTTTCACTCATTTCTTGAAACTCTACCCTGAGAAGAATCCTGTTCTCTCATCTCAAAAAGATCAATTCAAGAGCAGGTAGTGACGAGGAGCTGAAGGGCCAGTGAGTGAAAAGAGAGCAAGGCTCCCGATTGCTTGGGCACGTCACTTCTCCGGTACTCTTAGCTCCCCAGCTGGGGCTGCCAGCCCTTCCAACATCTGCCTGCTCTTTGGCCGTGACTCCCTCCTAAGCATCACCTTTAAGACAGGCATTAATGCTGGCAAACAAGACACGATAGAAGTCTTCAGTCTGAGGAGCTGGTAAAACGAGCACAGGAAAAGCTGGGAATAGAGGGATGAAGTAAAAGCAAAGTGCTTTTCAGCATCAATTGAAATGATCATGTGAAGGTTTTTGTCCTTTGTTCTGTTGATATGATGTATTCACATTGATTTATTTGCATATGTTGAACCATCCTTGCATCCCTGGGATGAATCCCACTTGATCATGATTAATCTTTTCAACATGTTGTTGAATTAGATTTGCTAGTATTTCGTTGAGGATTTTTGCATCTATGTTCATCAGAGATATTGGCCTATAGTTTATTTTTTTTGTTGTGTCTTTGTCTGGTTTTGGTATAAGATGATAAAGGCCTCATAGAATGAGTTTGGGAGTATCCCTTCCTTCTTGATTTTTTGTAATAGTTTAAGTATGATTGGTATTAATCCTTCTTAAAAGCAAAGCGCTAAGAACAAGAAGTCCACGTGATGATTCCTTCTTGTATGAGTCAGTGCAAAGGAGAGGAGGGGAGTTCCCTTCATAATCACCACACACATACTGTATTTCTATCTACTGTGATAAGCACAGAGTTCTAACAGAATATCAGCAGCTGGGGGATGACCATGTTGCCACTGCCTACTGGCCATGGCCACAGCTTCCTGTTGGGCTAATTCACATTACAGAATGGGAGCAGCAGGACCAGGAGAAGATGCTCCATGAGAAGACTGCCCAGTCCCCTTAAGGTCTTCTAGGCATTTTGGTTTTGATTCCTTGGCACCCATTAGAAAAATGGTCCCCAGGGAAAATGTTCTGGTCTGGAAATGACCTATGTTAGCCAATCAGAGGGGAGTACTGCACTGAACCTTAAATGGCTTGTAATGGAGATAAAGAGGAAGGTTAACTAGCACTTTTCAAACTCCAGATTCACCGGCAATAGAACAATAGAGCCCCCCTTTACAAAAGTTAAACTGATTTCCTAACTGGCTTGGGCAGAGAGGCACCTGTCCAGAGAGTTAGAAATGTTGGTGATTCTTTAAATTTATTCAGGAGCCAGGCCTAATTTCATGGGCAGGAAACTAACTGGCTGCATGTAACCCTTGTGGGTTGATATGATTTCCCTTTCCCTTTCTTGCCAGAAGGAAGAGGAATTGATTGATATAGTGTGGAAAGGAAAGGGGAGAGATCTGACAAAGGCAAGTCTGTTGGGATAAGAAGCAGTGTTTGTAGAATGAGTTCCATTGAGCAAATGAAAAGCTTTGTAGAAAGAGAGGGAAGACTCACTTTAGAAACTGAAGGGAAAACATCACAGAGGACATTGCTACCTGAGAACCACTTCTGTGAAATCATCAAATGAGACATAATTTGTCTAGTGTGGTGAAGAAAGTAGGCAAAGTACAGTAAAATGTAAGCATATGGTTTTTCTTTTTGTTTTTACCATAGGAGGACAGAAGAGTTAATTCCTTCCTTGTCTTTTTACTGAAGAAAGTGAAAATTATTGCCATATTATGGTATTCACTCCCTCAGCAGGAATCCAAGCTGGCCTGTCTGTACTGCCTTAAGGAATAAATACTCACTAATTCTCAAAAGGAAAAGCTTTTGCCTTGCTTCAGTCTGAAGTCCACGGTCCTCAGCTGAATTTGCTATCATATTAATAGAAGATGTGTGGTGGGGTGGGGATTCACAGTGGAAATGAAGGATCTGTCCTGTGGTCCATGAGGCCCTGCACCAGATTGGTAAAGAGAAGACTTAAGTATATGTGCTAATACTTTGTGGTCTAGAGTCCTCAAGTGGTAACTGTGGAGTTAAACTATAATTGCATCAAATTTTCAATCTTTTAAACACATGTATTAACGTAGTTATCTATTCTCTTAAAACTCCACTACTGACTCTTCCCTTCCATTTCATTCTCATAAATTTGCTACCCACCCCAACCCTCAACACAGTTATTCGTTCAGGTGTGAACCACAAATCCAAAAAGATAAACTTCACCAACTGGAGGGTTTTCCCTTTTACCTAAGGCTCCAAATTGTTTCGTCTCTTTTTAGAGTGTTTTTGGCTTTTACAGTTTTGAAATCTGTCTTCTCAAATAAGCACAATATCCAGAATGGGTTTGCATTAAATGAATGAAAAATCCAATCAGTGGAAACCATCTAAACATCTGTGCACTGTATAGCTTTAAATAAAATTCACTTTACTGCACCAATAAGTAAAGTGGCAAAAAGGGGAGGTGGATCTCATTTGGAAGAAGATTACCATTTAAACACAAAAGAAATACGAAGGGTATAGCAGTTTAGAAAGGTACAGGAAAAAATGCCACCGTAGGTAACACTGGAGGATGCAGGGTTACATTTGCCACTGAAGAAATGCTGTTCTCTCGTGTCTAAATCGCAGTGCTTTCCAAGTAGGTGGGTAGATGGTGAAAAATGGAGCAGCAGCTTTTTTTCTCTCTTTCCCCCTTGAATTTTAGCATAGGGTAGCTCTCTACCTGTCATAAAGAAGGCAGAAAAAGCAGCACTTCTGTCACCTGCTCTTCAATTTGGCAGGGTACCGCTCTTAGTTTTCCAACGTAGCCGCAGGTACTATTGTAATGACTCCGGGATGGTGCTGACAACGTGGGTTGCCTCCGTGGCTGCTGGAGGGGAGCCAAAGAAGGTGTTGGTTTGATTCCTCTGCTGATCTCGGAGGTAGGGAGGAACCGATGAGCTTTTGATGTGGAGGATCCTGGTGTCCATCACCTGACAGTCAATCTGCATCATCACTTCGTAATCCTGCCCATTGATCACATTCTCTGCAAAGAGGAATACACACAAAGGATAAATATTCAACAGAATGTGCATCTCTGCCTCAAACTTCAGCCCCAGAAAGACGTAAGTGTGCTTTAATGGTGTGAACTGTCAGTGAACTTTCAAGGGTGCCGAGGGAGGGACTTTATCAGTCACTAAGCAGAGCTACAGCATGGCTGGGTGCTAGGATGGCCTGTCCTCTCCCCAGTTCTAGTTACCAAACGGCCTTCATTGACTAATAAGGGCTCCAGCAACAGCCAGAGGTAACACTACAGAGTATCTGTCCATAGACGCTGCATGTCTTCCATGCTTTCCATGCAGTGTATGACGATGACTGAGGCAACTGGAACAGAAGGGCTTTTTTGTGGGGAGCACAGGGAAGAATAAATAGGAAGAAACAATTGTCAAAAGGACTAACATACCAGGAGGATGGTAAGGAGACCTTGCCAAGTCTGCTTAGCTCCTATTCATCAGTAATATTTCTAATTTCATTAAGATACTCCCAGCTGTGAAATTAAGAATTTGTCTCAGGAGCTTAAGATACAATTGATAAGGAAGACCCCCATCTATTACCTGGCTTCTGCAATTATGTTTACCTGTTGCATCAGCCATCTGAGACCCCACCTCTCGGAAGACCCTCATCAACCTAACACTAACCTATTACCTGGCTTCTGCAATTTCATCAGCCACCTGAGATCCCACCCCAACCTAACAAAAATGAAAAAAACCAGGTAGATGAGGCTCCGAATTTGGTGGCAAGACCCCTCTGAGCCCGCCGGTGAATAAACCTTGATTCTCTGACTCTCCATACACCACTCGGTTTGTCCTTGGAACCACCTGCTATAACACTTGCTGTAACATTTTGGTTCCCTGACATGGAAACCGACTGCACTGGACCCTTGATGCCACCGGTTCGGGGATAGGCATGGCAGTCAGTGGGACCTTGGCGACAGAAGCAAACAGGCGCCAGCCACCATTTTGTGGAATATCTTCATTCCTCAGGGGCTCCGCCAGCCACGGGGTCCCAAACTCATCGGACACGCTGGAGGGAAGGACAAGTCAAATCAAGTCTGGAGGCATCGGACCAGGGAAGGTCCTGTGACCTGTCTGAGTCAGGCCCGTCAGAGGACAGAAGAGGAGCTTGGTCACCTCCTGAGTGCAAGGAATTCTCAGAGTGGGAATGTGTAACCTCTGCCTGTCTGAATGAGTGAGTGAGGAGTGAGTGAAGAGTGACTATGGATCCACGGCTACGGCTACGGAACCTGAGTGGGTCCTCACCTGCGGTTCTATGGCACAAAAGGCGGAGCTATGGACCCTCATCCCAGCCCTCAGACATGCCCGGGGTAAAAAGGCAAACATATACACAGACTCTAAGTATGCATTTGCCACACAATACATGTCCACGGGGCAATATACAGGCAGAGGGGACTGCTGACTGCAGGTGGAAAGGAGATCAAAAATAGGGATGAAATCCTCCAATTGCTAGAGGCAGTGTGGGAGTCAAAAGAAATTGTGGCCATCCACTGTCGAGGGCACCAAAAGGGCACAGATCCAATCGCCACGGGCAGCTTTGTGGCAGACCAAGCAGCCAAAAATGCAGCCAGCCAAGGATGTTCAGAGGATAACACTCCAACACAGTGCCAAATCTTGTTAGCACCCGAGTGGCCCGAAGAACCAAAATATACCCCAGAAGAGAACCAGTTGGCAGAGCAGAAGGCCAAGAAGGACACAGACAGGTGGTGGCACCTACAGAACCATGATATCTTTATTTCCAACAAACTAGCATACTCCATTGTCTCCCGACATCACACACTGACTCACTTAGGGAAAAACAGCCCTCATGCAGCTACTCGTCCAGTACTACTACATCGCCAAACTTCCATCCATAGCTGCAGCCGTCAGTGCCCGCTGCCAGACCTGTGCTAAAAAACCATGTAGCAGTCAGACTGAGACCCACCCCAGAATTCAGTACGCCAGAACCTCTCTGTTCAAGGATGTGGAAATTGATTTCACAGAAGTAAAACAATGTCAGGACTATAAATACCTGCTGGTAGTAATATACACCTTCTCAGGCTGGGTCAAGGAAGTCCCTACCCCAACCGAAAAGGCTAGGGAAGTGGCAACGGTTCTACTGAGAGAAATCATCCCCAGGTACGGTCTACCACTCTTCTCTGGCAGTGACAACAGACCAAGCTTCACTGCAGAGGTCATACAAACCCTCAACAAGGCACTAGGAATCAAATGGAAACTACATACAGCCTACAGGCCACAGAGCTCAGGGAAAGTAGAGCGTGTGAACTGGACCCTCAAGACCACTCTAGTGAAGCTATGCCAGGAAACACAATTACCCTGGGTAGACATGCTAAGCCTAGCCCTGTTCAGGGTCAGGTGCACACCAGGGCCCACAGGATATTCACCTTTTGAAATCCTGTTTGGTAGACCTCCCCCATTTATCAAGCGATTAAGGTGAGACATTAGATAACCAGGGGAATTGAATATAAACACACACCTCCAAGCCTTAGCCAAGACTATGTGCCACATCCACCACACCGTCCTAGAAAAAACCTCTATTGCCCTGGGTCTCCCTGTCCACCCCACCAACCTGGGGATCCAGTTTGGGTAAAGGACTGGAAAAGGACACCCCTAGAGCCCATCTGGAAGGGTCCCCATACTGTGATACTAGTTACCCCCACTGCTGTTAAAATTGCAGGTATCACTCTGTGGATCCATCACTCCCAGGTAAAAAGAGCTAAACCAGACAATGAAACTGATCTCAGGACTTCACGTCAGGATCAGCAGAACCCACTAAAGATCCAGCTTAACCATCTCCCAATGAGGACAGCCACATCCAGGATTGAACAGGACTAAATGGGACCGCTGGCCCTGGCCCTCATTGGGGTTATAGCGACCTTACTGGGGATTGGCCTCTTCTCGGTAGCTCTGGGAGATTAGACTGGCCCACAGACAGCATCCCTAACTGTGATGTTTTGGCTCATTATAGAATGTCTACTGCTGGCTCAGTCCTTACCCTCCTCCTGGTTGGGACACTTGCCCTAACAACTCCAACAGAGAATGCCTGTCCTGAGACTTGCTCTGCTAGGACCTACATTCCCTCCACTAACAGGATTACTCGAGGGTTCTAGTCCACGGAAAGTTTCACAGTCTGCACCTACATGCCAAACACATGTTATAGTCAAGCTCAGGCGTGCCACCGCAGGGGAAAGAAATACTGGACTGGCACCATTACAGGTGATGGTCGAACCTGTATAGTCCCAAGAGACAAACCAGCTTGTTGGACTTACTACATCCACTGGGGGATGTCTAATGGAGGAGGAGACCAAGACCAGGCCAAAATCCAACAACTTAAAGACACAAAGGCTCAGCTTATTAAGATAGCCTCAGTAACAGAGTCAACTTATAAGAGGCCAGATCTTACTGGCATACGAAAGATCACTAAACCCCTGGAAACCTCTCCCCTGATAAGCTGGTTCCTCAATATGACCCTCGAGACCCTATCCAACCATACTTCCTGTTGGGTCTATTTACCCCTACAGAAATGAGTCTATATTGGGATCTCTGTGCCTCTGGGCAAGAACTCCAGCATCTTAATTCCAGGCCTAAACAAAACATTCCTGGTGGGCCCAGTAGCATACAATGTCCACTTAGCCGTAACTTCCCACCTGAATATCACATTACTAATGCAGGAAAGAATAAAATATTGGGATTCATACTGGGTAAACTCTACACAAATAACCAAACCTTACCCAATAATGCCACTGCCTCCTGCTCCTAGGATGCATAGTCTTTCTTTGTGGAGACACTGCCTACCTCTGCCTCCCAGAAAACTGGACTGAGACCTACACCCAGGTCTTCCTAACCCCAGATGTTTCTATCTTTAAAACCTGGCAACTGAAAGCTACACTAAGCCCCCACCCAAACACTTGGAAAAGATGGGCCTTACTAACATCAATCCTTGTAGGGGGAGGACTTGCTGCTGGGATGGGAGCAGGAGTAGATGGCCTAAAAACATCCCTGAACATCCACCACAAGTTATCCCCAAAACTAAATAAAGACATAAAACGAGTAACAGATTCCTTACTATCCCTCTAGAGTCAACTAAACTCACTAACAACAGTAACCTTACAAAATAGATGGGCCTTAGACCTACTCACTACTGAAAAGGGGGGCACCTGTGTATTCCTAGGAGAAAAGTACTACTACTATATAAACCAGACAGGAGTAATAACCACAAAAGTCAGGGAACTGAAAAAAAAAAAATCCAGAAAAGAAACAAGAAATTAGAACAAACCTGGGGTTTCGACTTAGAACACTAGACTTTATGACTACTACCTTTGGCTGGGCCACTAATAACCATTCTCCTCCTTGTCACTATAGACCCCTACATACTAAGTGTGGTTAGTAAATTCATAGAGACAACTATAACCCAGAGAGCAACAGCTCACATAATGGCCTTACGAGACTATCACCCCTAGGAAATGATGCCCCATACTAGACATATGAGGACATCAAATGGGGGAATGATAAGGAAGACCCCCAACTATTACCTGGCTTCTGCAATCATGCTTACTGATTGCATCAGCCACCTGAGACCCCACCCTCGGAAGACCCTCATCAACCTAATACTAATCTATTACCTGGTTTCTGTAATTGCATCAGCCACCTGAGACCCCAACCCTTGGACCACCCCAACCTAATAAAAGTGAAAAAAAATAGGGAGACGGGGCTCAGAATTTGGTGGCAAGACCCCTGCCAGCGAATAAACCTTGATTCTCTGACTCTCTGTGTGCCGTTCAGTTTGTCCTCAGAACCACCTGCTGTAACACAGTGAAGACGGACAACCAATTATAGACATCTGACAATTATGCTATTTCCCAGAGATCACTAGCATTTCCCCTTCATATTGAGACAATCTTTATTTCCAGAGTTCCTGATTCCAGGTAAAGAGAGACAAGTACAATTCCAATATAGAAATAAAGAGAGTGCT